TTGTTCCTCATTTCCTCTCAGTGACTATTCATTTCAGATATCTTCATTCATGTAGTTTTGTTTATCAAGTGCACACTGTCTGCGTTTGGTTTACCAAAATCCATGTGCAAGTTCAAAAAATGGATAAATTTTGTGTACCACATGTAGTGCACCAAAATCCAGCATTACTTATGAATATGTAGACGTGCATATGTTCGTGTATGATGGCAGAAGATCCAAAACGGATATTCTTACTGCAGTAACCTTTCCAGAAGTATCATTAACCCCATGGGTCTGTAAATGTCAGGTCTCTACTCTCCAGTTTAATTCCAAAGGAGACCAATATTTCTGTTGGGGTAACACTGCTGGTTTTCTCTACAAACACAGATATGGTTTTGGTTTTGCTACAACTCACCAGATCATGAGCAGTAGTTACCTACAGGTGAAGAACCATGGACATGTTCTTGTTCTCCCGTTTTGCCCTTTTCCCGTAACCAATCACTTGAGATGAGTTACAAACTTCCAAATACAAAATGCGGAGACAGAGTTTTAAGAGATTCAAATGGTTCTGCGTTCAAATGCTGCCATCAAGTGGATATACATAGTAGAAGGCTGCAACTAACAGCAAGGCTATCGTTCTGAAAGAAGAAAGTGGATGGAGAGAGGAAGAATAAAATAGTATTTTTGTTCAAAGTTTCATATGGTAAAACTTTATAAAAACATTTTTGGTCTAATCAAAACTTCTAGTTATGCTTGGCTTAGTCTCTCTTCTTTGTATTATACCACCTTCATATTTTAAAATCTTTGAAGTTGATCAAACTTGCCTTTGAAAGACCATGAACATAAGGATGTTGCTCTGTGCCTGTAAAATTTGTCTAGATTGCTAAAGATAAGAACTAGATGTTGCATTATATTCCTATAAACTTGTCTGAGATCCTGACTCAGATATGAGCTTCAGGAAAGGTCCTCCATCTCAAGGATCTACAGGGAAGTGAGAGGGAAGAAAGAGTTTCTCTTTGAGCTTTAGAGTTGGTGACCAGAATTAATTAATTCAATGGTTTTCTTCAAGTTCCAGAGCAAGAGTTCAGTTTGTGTTTGAAACTGAAATACTCTCCTTTATATAGTCTTGTTCTCCCTCTCGCAAAGTTTTAAAATATTCATATCCTCATTTCCTTAGAGAAATTTAGGAAGAAAGTTCAAAATATTACTTGATGTTATAAGGACAAAATATAAGACAGTACATTTTCTTGGTTGATCTCATTTAATGGCCACAGAGATGCAGCAAAGTTGGGCCTCAAGTGCTGGCTCCAATATGGGCTGAGCAACCACTAAAGTCTTCTCTCAAGACTCTTCTTTCACCTAAGCCAAGAAGAACTGGCTATTTTCCTAGGCTGCATGACATTCAGGAATGCAAGATTTGTCCATGGCTCATTCACAACAAATGTATAGTAAATGACATGTGTTTTGGAAAATCGACAGTGCATGCATAGTACGTGTGCAATAATTTAGTGTCCTCTGGATGCATATGCACGTAGTTCTGCCAGGAAAGTCCTGGATTAAAAAAAAAAAATTAAAAAATAAGAGAGTCCTATATCTGCAGCAAATTATTTTGCCCTTAGGGTTGTGATGGTAAATAAATTTTGACAAGGCACAGGCAAATTTGAGAACTTGGAGGGGGAAAGACATAGTCATGAAAAGTGTTGTACTCAGGCAGTGCAATCTGGACCATTGTCTTCAGTGCTGGTTTGTATGTACTCCTGCAGACTTAACACTTCTTCACCCTCAAAAGCCGAGGATCTGTTTTAAGTAGAAATATTATGGTCCATCTGGATGTAAATATTTCTTTTAAAATAGAACTCAGGTTATCAACCCAGAAGATCAGATCAGGTCTGCTGGGCTGTTGTGGATATATCATCAGCAGACGGTTTAGCACTTGCAAATAGAATCCTTATTAATTAAAAGCAATGCATACATTATTGGTGTAGGGACAGATATCAAGAATGGTAATAAAAAGAAAAGCCATGCATGTATTCTCTATTCAGACATCTTTGTCCAGAATTTGGTGATCACTACTTCATATGTTCTACTTTTACAGCAGCCAGACCTCTCCTCCACCATGGCCAGGAAAAAACATCCAAACAAAAAAAGCCAGAAAAACATCCACACCTACTCTTTAAAAACCTGATCTTTGTGGAACAGGTCTTTTTTGTTAATGTAGCTGGAACAGAGGTTAAGACGGCTCAATGGGAGATAGATGAAATAAAAATACCTTTTAATATATTCTTCTATAGCTTGGCAACAAGAGGGAGCTACTGTCAGGAGCAAACTGTCTCACTGTCCCAACCTGTCCCTCAGGCTAGTTGTCCTTATTTATTTATTTATTTACAGACAATAAGGTACAGGTGGTGTTTGGGGCTCAGTAACATCATGGCTTAACTAAGGGATTCAGAAATCAAAAAGGTGAGAAATGGCAATATAGGTTGGTACCTCTGGCAATGGATATCATAAATATGTTTTTTCTCTGTTCATTAATAAAAACCACATAGAATAAACATAAAATGGAAGTGATGTCAGCACTCTTTGTCTCCTTTGTGTCTTTATGTTAGTATTTCTGCATAATGCTTGTTTTAAACTTCTTGCTTTGGAGATCTGTTGCAGGCTATTGATTCAAACACTCTCGCTTTCTTATACTTAAATCTTATCATCCCAGTTCTCTGTCACTTATGTGGTGATCAGGCTTCAGAACTATTCACTACACTAACAGCCCAGATATGAGAAACTCCCATATATATGTTTAATTCTTTTCTGGAACAGAGAAGCTGAAGACAACTATTATTTTTTCCATCCTTTCATGTTTAAAATAAGGTTTTTTTCCTTTGGAGAGTATAGCAGAATAATAGCAGTCTCCCATACTTCTTCACCAATGCCACCAATAACAGGAAGGATGCTGGAAGCTGAAATATGTGGTTTTTTTTCAATGCCGGGCTAATAACCTTCTCTTCAAAGACACTCTCCTGTCTACATATGAAGAAATACACTGTGATGGAGTTGCTGCCAGCTAGATCACCGTGGCCAAAAGTCCTGACCGTTTATAATCATGAATTATAATTACCTGGATTTTGTATTTTAAACACAAGCTTTGCTACTCAAAGCCTTGCTCCGGCCTGCAGCAGAGCAAGCTGTAAGGGCTGGAGGAGCCTCTGCTCAAAGGGAGAGGGAAGGTGCACAGCTGAGCCTAGAATCTAGTCACTGATTCCTACTGTTGCAACTGTTTTTGAATCAAAGCTGCATGGTTGGAGTTACCTAATGGAGTTATTCAGTGTTTCTGATTGCCTCTGAATTGATCCTAGCGTACTTCTAATCACAGAATAGATCACATTAAAATGTACAATACTGGGTTATGTGTTTAAAATATATTGTTTTAAAAGAAATGTGTAAACTCTTGTGGATCATGTTTCATGGCTTCAAATTCAACACTGCTTACCTGATTTTACCTTCATCTGGATTTTTAAGTTAGTCATCTTCAGTAAGACTGGTTGAAAAGTTGCTGGGTTTGATGAATATTTGTCTTCTCAAGAAGAAGCAGGAGCATCTGCTTGCTTTAAAATTTTAATCCTGTTATGTAGAAGTGAACACTTTCCACAGTAGTATCTCAAACACCATTTTTCCTGTTAGCTCTAACCTTTTCACTACATCGTAATGCTGTGATATGTGCGAATATCATCAGCTATATAGCAAACTTGTTATATACTCATAGCAATTGAGATGTCAACAGAAAAAAAACTTAGGGCTATGACTTGTATGTGCTTTAAGGCTTTTTTTTTTTTTTTTTTTATAATTTGAGCAGCTATTAATGGATTTGGGACTACCATAATTATCAGACAGCTTAGAAGAAGCTGATGTTCCTATCTCCAGTAGCTGGGGAAGTAAATTGTTACTTAAGAGCAGCTAAAGACACCTTTTAAGCACTGCATTTTGAACGAGACCAGCCAGAGTCAGGCTGCCCAGTAAGGAAGCAAAGCTGGGAGACCCAGGAGGGTCATGGTCCAGGGTGGGACATGCCCTCACCAACAGCACAGTCTTGCAGAGGCTGAAAACATCGCTGGAGCTGGTGCTGGTAAAGGGGTCCATCCACAGACGCAGACACAGCAAGTGATGGACTAGGTCCAGGGTTCATCCATGGGCTCCAATCAGGAGCAAAAGAAGATGGGGCCAGAGACAGGGCTGGAGCACAGGTCTAAAGGGCCCATCCAGCAGATGGGCTACCTACAGTACAGGTTTGAGGTCCACCCAGCAGGCAGAGGTGGAAGTGGAGACCAGCCCTCCTGCAGCATAGCTCGGACTGGGATCAACAGGTCTGGGCTGATCTGAAATGGACCTGTGGGCAGGGAGTGGGTGATGGCCTCAGGTGAGGCTCATGCCTGACAATTCTGTGGCTTTCATGAACTTTTCCCTGTTTGCCAGTGCTGCTTTTGATTCTCGAAAATCTTGTCCTCTCCTTGAAATATGATAGCGGGAAAGCAGAAATGAAGAGTTAAAAGCAACTGTCATCTTTCATGTGACACACGTTATTCTTTTCATTTCTCCCCATTACACAGGCATGAAGGATACTTTTCTCGTCGGAGTTCCTTGAAGATTATTTATAGAAAAGTCAGAATCAGAACCTTTACATCTCTAACAGGAGTCTGTACAGAAAGTATGACCAAAGACATTGAACAACTTTTTAACATTTTGGTAGGTAAATAGAACAATTTATGGAGGCAGCATCACAAGCAACACAGACCTTTAACCTGAAATTAATATCACAAATACCTATTAGATTCCATAGGAGTAATCTATCTTATAAGCATGTAAAAACTAGGAAAACATACTGGATAGGTGAGACATCAGTGTGAATGTTCTCCTGTTGATTGCGATCTCTAAGGTTCTTAAAATAGGTAGCGGAAGAATTAGGCGGGGACACTTGTTGCGGACTTTGCCGTAGCATAACATTTACAAACGCATAAATAAACCAGTATAGCCCTTAATTGCTGTTTATTAAAAAAAAAAGCATTACTGAGTAATTTACAGGTACCGTACTTGCCAAATAAACTACACACAGGACAAGAAAGCTGCAATACAGTTCCAGTGGTAAATTACCTTTCATTTTACAAAAAATAGCTGCCTTGAAAAGAAACCAAATTAACATTCCCTGCTCTTTAACCTTTTTTTTTTTTAACTTTCATTTTGGGGAATGAAAAAATCCTTAGCAATACAGATACATTATATTTCTTCATTATCACTCAGCACAAGCTACAGCAACTGTACCCACAAACACTGAGGCCAATCACAGGAAATAAGTTCAATCTATTTTACATATTGCTATGGAAAGTTGCAAGTTGCTGCTCGGCTTTCAAAGGCCTAGATGGCAGTGTAGTTCTTAGTGTAATTAGTCAATTTGATCTTCTCTGGGAAGATAATATTAACTGAAAGGTTTTCCCCATTGTTAGATTTCAGAAAAAAGTTCTTTTTCTTGCGTAGGAGATGACTATATTTGGCATTAGCAAGCCACATTTCACATTTTGAAAAAAACACAATCCCAGTTGTACCCAAGACAACCAAACACGTAAGCAAGCCCAGTACAACAAAACATATCACCTGGCTTCTACTGAGCAATGGATCTGCATTTTGGATTGTTTCTTTCATTGTTATTTTCAAGATTTCTTGTTGATGATGCACGGATCTGTGATGAGCTTTTGGGGATGGCTTGTAATTCTGCATATGCTCTGTCTCCATATTCACTCCAGGGAGGCTTGTGTTTTTGCTGGGATGTTTGCAGGTCACACCAACAAATTCTGGTTTACAGGTGCATTCAAATCCTCCTTGGGGACGTTCACTGCATGTTCCTCCATTCTCACACGGGCCACTTGCACAGAATATGACACGGCTGCTGCAGAGTTTTCCCGTGTAGCCATGAGGACAAAAACAGCTGAAACCCACACCAATATCTGTACATGTTCCTCCATTTTCACACGGGTTGGATTCACAGTCATCTCTGTCTATCTCACAGAAGTTGCCAGCAAAACCAGAAGGGCACAGACAGGAAGCATGTGCTGCAAATCCATTGTCATCAATGCATGTTCCTCCATTCTGGCAGGGAGAGCTAGAATAGATAACAAATACACAGACATAATTGAACTAGAGTCCAATGAAAGAAGCTATTAGGGAACACTTTATATAATAAAAGGAGGCGGTTTTCTTTAGAAGACACAATTCCAAATGCAAATCCACTGAAGTCAATGAAGTTGAATCAAGAAAGAGTTTGTTCAACAGCTTTGTCAATACAGATTATAGTATCTTCTGCTGACCCTTTAGGCAGGATTAACGCAGCAGTATATAAATTCAACCCGAAGAGCTGTGAAGGGATTTAAAATTATTCCAAGCATTTATTCAAATCAGTCTTCCCAGTGTTTTCATATGCTCAGAGCTATTTAGCTGAGCAACTATTGAGACAAGACTGAACAAAGACACTAGCAGCATGGCTTTCTTTTCCACCTAATTATTCATAAAATAATCTGTGTATTGTAATGGCAAAGTAAAACACCCTGCCATAGCAGCTAGATATAAAGCTGACTGTTTTTATTCTGCCTCTCCAGTGCTCCCTGATATAAAAAAAAAAATCAGAGGTGAACAGGTACTTTCCTGCAAACTGCTGTTCAGTCAAAACTTTTGATAAATGCAATCAAAATATAAATGGGATCGTTTCAGCCTTGGTGTAATCTCAGGACAGGATCATAGGAAATCATTTCTGCAAATCCTTTAAGAACTTAATAGCCTTGTACTATATTTTAAGGGATGTAAATTCACTGCAACATCTTTTTTTACCTTTGCAATACAACTGTGCCTTACTGAGTGTAAGGCCAAAAGATAGGGCCGCCCATTGACAGAAAGGCACAAATGTGCCAGTTCAGTGGAGCTATGCAATGTGGACTTGGTCCCTCAACTGGCTGTGTTGGCAGAAAAGGGGCCCTGGGTCACAGGTTTACAAATAAATCTCAAAACCCACTTTCACGGCAGTTCAACATATATGAACAAAGCTTTTAAAACTTACCTTCCAAAAATGAACAACACTCGGTAAAGTTTACAAAAAACCTCTCTGACAACAACAGTTTTCCCAATACTTATAAATCTCTGAAGACATATCAGTATCAGGACATAGTTGAAAAGTCCAAGCTGTCATTTAAGGGTCACATATTCAAGGGAAAGTAGTAATCGGCCATTATGGATTTCCATGGTGGGACACAGGGATTTAAGAGATCTTTTGATGTCTGAGTGAGATGACTGTGAAAAGGATATAAGCTCCTGACTACAGATGGTTCCTGACCACTGATCAGAATAAGGTTGAGCTTCTCAAATGTCCAGCCATTGCTCTGGAAGCTATGATAGAGACTACCTCAAGCACATCTGGCTTTACTGGGGACTGAAACACTTGGTGGCCACCCATCAGGAGAGCATGAATATCATAGTAGAGGAATCATCTGCCTCTTTTTTGCTGCTTCCACATAAACTGCTCTGTCCTCTTGTATTGTCCTTCACTATAGATGTTGACTGGGAAAAAAAGACTACTGAAAGGACAAATTGGAAGTCTGGAAGTAGTATTAGAAAAGTGAAAGGTGTGGTTGCCCCTGGACTTTGACATAGCAGTTATCAGTTGTTGGTGACAACTCGAGGTGATCATGCAAACAGGGAATTTTGCCACAATCATTAGCCACTGTGCCTGCTTTAAGTAAAATATAGAAGTTGCAGCTGTATAGTCCTTGAGTAAATGAGAGGTTATGGCCTGTCTTGAAGAGTCTAGCACCCTGCCTTGGCTTTATAATTCCCATAGAAAATCTGACAAGCTGTTTTAGATATGGCAATGTGTAAAAGTTTGAACCCTCATGAGCAGGTCAAATTACAGTACTTTGTAGGGAAATGGGAAGAAATCGTTGAAGAATATAAGTGTAAAATTTTTTCTGAACCTTTCAGAAGTGTAAATAATTTACATAAAAAACAGATAAGGGGAAATACACAGAATTCTGAAAATGTATTCTTTATTTTTTACTAACACTGAGTTGCATTTGCCTAATTTTAATATGTTTAAATAAATAAGGTATTAATATTAATATCTTTGAATAAATTCAGTCACTTTGCATTCTTGGCATTTAATGCGTGTTCAGCAAGGCACGGTACATGAAGGTCTAGTTGTGGAAACACGAGTATACTACTTCTTTGCTGTCCAAATACTCTTTACACTTTAGAAAGTACCACTTGCTGCTCTGCTTCAGAGCAAAACCTCAAAACATCACACAGATGTCACTAGTGCAGATACATCTGCCTGATTTTGTAAACAGACTAGAACAATCACTTTGATTTCTGAATTGTCTTGGTTCCATCTGTGAACATTAACTGAGGAGTCAGCGGCAATGTTTAGTAATAGCAACATCGTTAACATTACCATGGAGGTACAAAGGAACTGACAGGAAGTGAGATGTGAATGAGATGACATCACATGATGAGGTCTCTTTCCAGAATGTGAGGTGCACTTTTCTGGTGCACTGTGAAGTATTAGGGGACATAGAGTGCTTGTCGTCTTTTTGAACTAAAAGCAGATGTGCAGAGCCTGCTACTCATTTTCCTGAAAAAGACACAGCTTCCTAGAGAAAAGGAATTGCTGTTTCAAGTATGTTGTTTCCTTAAGAAATATTGTTCATGATTTCCAGACTAGTTCATAAGTATTCAGTTTGAACACAGAGTACCATCACAAAAATGTAGTTTCAGCAGTTTAAAAACTTGAAGATTTCAGTGAAGTACATGGAACTGATCTGTTGCTTCGTCGATACCGTACCTCACCTGTTCTTTGGGATAGTTAATATATGTCCACGTTGAATTACTGAAATATTTACTCTAACAGATGAAAAGTGAAGAAAGCAAGCTATTCACATCCTCTATGTTAGGCAAGTAGCTTGGATGTCATTCAAGGCACTTGCGAGGAACTTAAATTTCCTCATTGTCAATGAAGAGAAATAGGCAAACCAAAGCCATTATCTTAGATGCTGAAAGTAAACCAGACAGAACTGTGTGACTATCCCCCGATTAAAAGCAATCGCAAAAAAATTCCACTGACGTAAAGTTTTAAGAATGGCAATTCTTGCCAGAGACAGTGAGAGGTGTTAATGTTCCTTAAACAAGAGCGTACAAGTCTTAAGGAAGATTTAGTCATAAGGTAGACCTGAATATTCGTAATTATCTATTGCTGAGCAAAAAGACAACCAGAGGGTACTAATATGGAGCTAGAGAGAAAGAAGGCAATCTCCAAAAAGAAAACTGTGATTTTAAGCTGATAGTTTTACCAAGCTTGTATCCACAAGAAAGACATTCTGTATGCTTAGGGAATCAGATCCTTGATCAGCTGGAAGACAGCAGATACTTGTAGATTTCAAAAAAACCCACCAATCTACGTGGTTGTTTTTTTAACTTTGAAAGGTCATCCTTTTTTCAAGCAGTTCTGCCGGTGATACTGCTGAAATATTTTCAGTCTGTGCCCATTGCCTCTTGCCCTTTCACTGGGCACCTCTAAGAAAAGTCTGGTTCCATCTTCTTTGCTTCTCTCCATCAGGTATTTATACATATGGGTACGTTTCCCCAGAGCTTGCTCTTCTCCAGGCTAAATAATTCAGCCCTCAGCCTACTTTTATAGGAGAGATGTTCCCAACCTTTAATCATCTTCATGGCCCTTCACCAGACTCACTCCAGTACATCCATGTCATTTTCATATGGGGAGCCCAGAACTGGACCCAGAACTCCAGATGTGTCTCACCAGGACTGAGCAGAGGGGAAGGATCACCTCCTTCAACTTGCTGGCAACACTGTTCCCTACGTCCCACTGCTCTTAGAGAATGGAAAGCAATGGCCTCCCACATCCTGTTCTGGTGGAAGTGAGATTATCTCCCTCAGTAAACTATGGACATACCATTACATGTCAGTTAAGTAAAATGACAGGCTGGTGGACTATATGTTTTTGTGCAGACAGTTTGTGTGTTGGCTACTGTTCTTATTACTGTATACGGTTTGTATATACAATTACCTCTTACTACAGATGAGAATATAGGATGGGAGGTTACTTCAAGTGTGTTTACTAAAATCATGGGAAGGAATGAATTCCTCACAACAAAATGTGAAATTATCACTTTTAGTAATCAAATTATGCACGCAGACTCATGCTGATAATCTGTAAATCTGCACAATATGAACAGATCAGATTTGTAAAGTTTGATAAAAATATCAGCAACTAGTAGAAGCATTATATATTTTAGCACAGAAATCTGAGTAATAGTCAGCAGAAGCATGGATTTAAATTCGTATCAGAAATCAATATTTACCCATTAATAATGCAGGGTCCTTTTTTGAGATGGCAGTTTTTTCCTGTAAATCCCTGGGCACACAGACAAATATATCCTCCATCACCAGTCTCTATGCATGTTGAGTTATTGGTGCAGGGCTTTGTAGAACATGGGTGAATATCTGTTTAAAAAAAAACAGGGCTCAATTAATTTAATGAGAAAGAGCCAGTAAATCATAAACAATGCTTCAAATAAAATATAGCTTTAATGGTCCTTCATCCTGAATTTTATAAATTGTGATTTATTCCTCCCTCTGTGAAAATGAAGTTCAGATTGTTCAACTATTGCAAGCACTTTCAGCTTGTTTCTCTCTTCTTAGCTCCCACTTGTAAAATAAGTTTTAATTGTTCCAATCTATAAATAAGTAGTGTTATCAATAAAATATTAGTAGGAGAGAAAGAACTTTTATGTGGTCTAGTCATCCTTTCATAACCTTGGCTTCTCCATGAGCTGAATTCTGATGAAGCAACCAGGAACTGGGAATTCTCCCCACTCCCTGCCTGAGAGCCTATCATTATGTGCTTATGAACAAACATTTCATAATAACAGAGATGAGCAAGTTACAAAAATCTCTCAAAATTTCATCTTTTGGCTGGGCTGCATCCAGTCCTTACATAACTGCTCCAGAAGAGAGAGCTGTACGGCATCTGGACCCAAAGTCACACATCTCATTTTCTTTACAATTTCCCTGCTAAGCCACTTCCCACTCAAATGATTACTGAATTTTTAAAATAACTAAAAATAAATAAACAAGTGCATATTTTAGCCAACCAATGGAGCAGCTGCAGAGCAGTGCTGTCTGTGAGTTATCTGATGCCTCACACACTCATGCACACACATGCACTTTCTAAGAAGCCAAAAAGGGATTTAAGGGCATTTATATTTTACTCCCCACAACATAACATGAAAGTTAGATGATATCATGAGGTACTGCGAAATTTTAACCACAGCAAAATATTTCAGAAGCCTTAGCTTTCAAATACAATCTTCCCTGGATAAGGGACTCTATTTTTTGATATATTAGCCTGTTCTCATTGCAAGACAGCCGCTGTGCATGCACTTCGAATGTAAGCTTCAATTTTCACCAGGACCAAAATAACCTTGAATGCTTTTTGAAGCAGTGTTGTTTGCCACTTATTTTCACAGGCTTCAAAGGCAGCTAATAAAGCATGAACTTCGATGCAGGAGCAAGGAAACTCTCTGAACTATATATGGGTACATGTGTGTATATATACACATGCACAAATACGCATACACATACATTACTATCAGTAATTTGTGTCAAGGATTTAATTTGAAAACACAACTTAAAAGCTTGTAGGAACATATTCTTTTAAAGCATAAATACATAAATAGTTCCAAATAGCCAATATTCTCTATTTTTGTCTGGTTTACCTCTCCAAAGGCCAATAACCAATTGATTTACTTGCTTCAACTGATAACTGAGTCTGAGATGAGAATTCGAAAAAAGGACTGTACATTTATAATATATTACGAATGGCTGCAATCACATTACCAGTAAGTTAATTAATATTTGCGTAAAACTAAGTTGTCATGCTACTGTACATCAAGCAACCACTGAGTGTTTTTAGGAGGAAGGCACACTCAGCAGTAGTCTATGTCACAGCAGAATTCCTAGACCATGTCTCATGCCTGCCTAGCACAGGCTTTAGAGGCTCCGCCTGTACTCTCTTCCTATGGCACCAATCATTCTTACCCAGCTGGACTGAGTTGAGATAATGAACTACTAATTAACTACTCAACTCAAGGTACCTATCCTGCCTACAAGAGGCAGGCCATTTCCTCCTGGCTGTGGAGGATGCAACAGCGTCCTTGGTGCCGCAGCCCAGGCTGGTGAGCAACATCTTCCCAACACATGTCCTTGGTAAAGCAGTCGAGTGACCTGTAGCGTGATATACTCTGAGATCACACCAGATATTGACTTTTTAGCCAAATTGAGGTTAAGATTCAAGCAGGAGGTCAGGGGCCCATTAACATGACTGCAGGCACAGCCAGAGATGACAAGATGACAGGGATGGCAAGACAGGGATGACTGATCTGACTTAGAAAGGTGGATCATATTCTCCAATTGGGCTGTCATTTTTCCCTGGAAATAAATTAATTAAATTGTTTTTCCTTTTGTTCTGTTTAGTGTTCGATGTGGTACCTGCTCCTGTAGTGTATCTCAGACGGCCGCAGAGGGAAACCCTGTGCTGTGCAGCCTGGTTCCAGGTGTTCACACACCCGATGTCAAGGCTGTGTTTCCTCAGGATGAGAAGAAGCTGTGGCACTCAGATAGGCAGGCTGGTGCACTCCATTGCAAAGAGATTAACCAGCAGTGTTAACACTAATACCCACTCATCGATTTCTTTCTTTAAGTGCCATGTTTGTCCATGTGACTGCAATAATAGCCATAAATGATATCGCTGATCCTGGCCTACGTGTTTACAATGGATCAAACCCTACCTATAATCTGCATGCCTCTGAATTACTGGGAAGGCCATTCTTGACCTGAACTGAGAACCAGGCTGCCCATAGTGAAAGCAACAGCTACACAGTCAGAGGCATTAGCAAACCACTTGATGATCAAAAACTACTCCAGAAAGGAACTCCCATGAGCTGAGCCAGTGAGACCATACACTAACTTTTCTAGAAAACAGAAAAGGAGATAACCCCACCATTCCGAGTTATCTTCTGTCCTCCCATGCCCAGCAAGCAAATTAGCTGCTGAGACTGTATCTATATTTTACAAATATTTCAGGTGTTTACAGTAGTGGCCAAATGAACTTTAGACACTCACAAAGTTTTCATTCTCAGTTTTGCCATCCTTGTGGGTTGGCATTTGCTCACAGCTGCCAACATTAAAACAGTGACTATGCCAGAAATTCACTGGCAAATATTACACTTTCTATAGCAGAAAAAATGAAGAATTTCAAGAGAATGCCAAAATTGCATTCCTCACAATCCTTTGTCAATCCCAACAGAAACAATACAGATGTAGCTTTCTAAAATGCTTTATATGATTACACACCTGAAACTAAAAATAGTCTCCAGTAGCTAAAAAATAGCACTTAATGTCATACGCATGTGAAAAATATAACAACTGTGGCCTACTCTCATTGGACATAAAAATTCAGTATTACAATAGAGAGGCAGGGAGTCTGATACTTTATAGCAAGAAATCGATGAGTTTGTATTTCCATATTTAAAAAACAGTTATGTGTATATGCCAGTGATCCCCAAAAGAGCAGGAGCCTTCAAAAGCCTTCCTTTTTCCTAACCTGATCAAGTTTCATTTAGTGGTACCTGTTAATGAGTTATAGAAGCCTGTAATGACTTTATACATTCGGGAAACTGACACATTTTGGCAGAGGATGAGCAACTAACCCATTTGAGGTTTCAGTGCTTTATTGGGTCAGAATAACAATTTGTAGCAACCTTTCAGTAGCAACAGAAGGATGACCCTTCTCCTGATCCTTTGTGGCAAAACAATGCATTTAAAGTAGGTAAATCCACTGAGATGAAAGACTGTCAACGTGACATGTCCCTGTAGATGAAAAGATGGTTATTTCTTTTTGGCTAAATATTCTTGGTAGCTCTTCACAGGGATCTATATTCAAATTGGCAAAGAAGACTCTGAGAGAATTCTGAGTCTTGAGAGAAATAATAGTTTCCGAATTTAAGCAAGGGATACCTTTTTTGTATTATAGAACTATTTTAATGAATATGTATTAAAATAATACTTTTCCATAAAAATATGGGTACAATTACCAAGGCATTGTTTTGCATCCTAAGTACCAGTTGCAAGAGTGAAACGTTGCAAGGCTCAGAATTGCAAAGATATACTAGTACTTACAAGTTCAGCTAGGTACTTACGTCATTTAAAACTATGCCCAGCTTGAAAACTTAATATTAATTTACAGGAATCTTTAATGTGAAGATGGTACATTTAAAAACGTGGTCCTTTGGCATCATTGACAAGCAACAGAACTGAGCCTCCTACGGTGGCAGTGGCGGGTTGTTCTGTCTAGTTTTAGAAATCCATGATTGTAGATCATAGGCAACAGAGGGACCTATTCCTCCCCACTAATTGTAATGAGAATTTAGGTGGCTGTCTCGGGTACAAACACGTCTGTGAGAGGTGTCCAGAATAACATCTCAGAGAGCTTATAGTCACATCCGCACCACTGCTACCACAGGTCCTGCCAACATTCCAGGACTAGCTGTAAACTAAGAAGCCTATCTATGCTTAAGTGTGCAGCCAGTGAGTATGGGCTGCAAAACCTGATGAGACGCTAAATGAGTACCTGAGTACCTTGCACCAAGCTCCAGGTCACTGCAAGCATGTGAACTACCTGAAATCTTCTGAGTCTTTTAGTCATCTTGAAAATTTTATCCAGTTCAAACTGCATCATTGTTAATTACTGTTTTGGGTATTCATTGGCAGAACACAGGTATGCTCTATAAATTCTAAGCTATGTAACAACAAAAGCCTGAAAGACATGAAAAGAGAATGAGGCCCTGGACACCTGTCCTCTTCCAGCTGAAGCTACGTGAGCTGAACAGGCACATGCTCCTGGACGCTCACGGGGTTTCGGTGCCCTCAGGTCTCTTTGGCTGAACATTTGCCTGTGTCAGCCAAAATAAACCAGCTCAGCAAAGGCCAGTTGTTCAGCTTGCTTATGCTAAGCTGGCTCACTCTGACTGGCAAGGGGTAAGAGAGTGCACGCAAGAGCTGTGCGTACCCCTCAGACCTGAGAAGGAAGTGGCAGCCTGCTCAGGCAAACCTTTTTCACAGTTATACTAGTGCTACTCCACTGAATCATCACTGGGTTAAGTAAAGGAAGAAATAAGCACAATGTTTTTCTTTTCAGGAAGTAGCAAAAAAGTAGCATATATATATATAATGTGCTAGGTAAACAGTTCAAATAATTTAATATATGCAAGACAACATGTAGTTTTATAGAAAGGGCTTATACGGCAAAAATGGAGCAGTTATTTGTTATCCTGTCCAAGATAATCAATGTTTAAAATAGAATGATGAGTTTACACTTTGCTTGCACATATGTCCAAAAAGATCCTGCATGCTTCTGCCTAAATTATTGTAAGAGTTTCAAGTTCATGTGCTGCTGCCCATAATACCGCTCTTATCCAGTGCTAACGAGTTTCAAGTTCATGTGCTGCTGCCCATAATCTCGTTCTTATCCAGTGCTAAAATTCAATTTTTTAAAACAGGTTATCCAGAAGGACTTTTGCATGTCTCCAGCACCAGATGGGGCTGTTTCACCTCACTTGCCCAAGGAGAGGAAAGGATGTGCAAACCTATGTCACAGAGGCTGCCAACCCAGCCCTCCTCACAGATGCACTGCCAGGGCTTGGCACAGCTGCCGTGCAAACACCCAGGGAAAGGAACACACTGATTACAAAGAGCACCCTGCCAACCAGGTTGACACCTGAAAGAGATAAAAGACAAGATAGAGGCACAGTTTGTTTTTAATAAACATAATTACAAGGATGTTCCCCTTTTCGAGGCACAATAAATAAACTTTCAGATAAAAAATTGGACTATGCAGCACAATTGGACAAAAAGATATCATCTATGCTTCTGGGATACTAGAAGCAGTTTATGTGAAGAAAACCATTTCATTCAGTGAGAAAAAAATAAATAAATGCTAATCAATGTAAAGATTTTTCTTACTGGAAAGAGTAGGCTAAAAAGGCACCTAGATGTCTATGCTCTATGATTCCTGTATCTTAATAGAGTGCTGTTTCATTACAGTTCCATATTTTCAGAGGGCAAATCATTTCAGCTTCTAGTTTACAAGGACTATGAATTATTGAAGCCGTCCTTTCCTGTGCCAACAGCCCTGTCTGACGGATCTTTTTACCTGCATTCATTGGGAAATTCACAAAATCCATTCTCTGGGTGGCAGCCAGTTTTACAGTTCACGCCTGGAAGAAGAGATATATAATATCAAACTAGAAAAATCAGCATTCAGAACAAAAATCATATCATGTCCTAAACACATGACTGTATTTTAAAAGAACCCACACTGCATAATGCTTTGATTTTTTTTTTTTCCAAATACATGGTTTTGCAACATAAATTTTTAAATTAACTTCATCTGGAGCATGTTACGTCTTCCTACAGGATAAATGAAATGACATAAAGAATTAACCACAAAAGAACACAAACTAAGTCACTTACATGCAAAGTGTATGTAATATCACTATACAGTACTTTAAAGGGGAAATTTCAGAAGACATCCTTGTATGTCATTTAACAACATGCCGCTTCAACTGCATTGTTTCAGAACTACTTGAACCACAAAAGTACCTTTAGTCAGAAAAAAAAAAATTGCATTTAAAACAACTTACAGTGTAAGTGTTGAATTCATTTCAACCCTACGTCGGACGGAAAAAAATAAATCACCATTTTCATGAAATCATGCATGAATAAGGAAAGTTAAGGAGAAGTCACATTTTTTTGGTGTGCATTTCAAGTACTTGCATCAAGCGCACTAGGCAATGCTCCTCTGAAATATCGCCGGGAGCCACTGGCATCCTGCGCAAACGGCGCGGGAACCGCGCTCAGCCGGACGCGCAGGAAAATCTCCCACCGACCACCAGCATCCTCGGCCGGACCGAGCGCGGGGAAAGGCTTCGCCCTGGGGGGCAGCGGGAGGGCTCTCGCCGTCGCTTTCCTCCCGGCCCCGGCAAACTCCGAAAACTTTCCCAACTCGCC